ACATATTTTCAAATAGCTATATCTCAAGTTCTATAAAAGGTAGAAACTTGAAATTTATTGCGTTTTAAAGATAATTGGTTGAGCTTTTAAGAAATTGTTTAAACAATTAAGATTGTTTATATTTAAGTACTAATATTAACCGTTAAATTTCAAAAAAAAAGATATCTCAAAAGGGTACACAACATTTTTCATTTTTTATATTTTATTTAGATTCAGTTTTAAATTTTACTAAGAAATAAAAATTTTCATAGTATCGATTTTTATAAATTTTTAAAATTTTTTTTTTCTCATGAAACACATCAAACACATGCGTGCTATATTTACATTGAATGAATTTTCAAAAAATATACTACAAATATTCTTATATAATATTCTTGATTTCAATTAGTAATAAAATTGTACATAAAACTCAAAAATTTCAGGACGATATTGTCGTTGGAACTACTTTTAAAAAATTTATTTATCCTTCACATCACTCCAAACACATACACACGATTTTTCAGTAAAAAAAAACAGAGGAATACGTCACACAAATTTTTCATTTTTACTTTTAATTCCGATTAAACAATAAATTCTTCTTCAAAAATAAATATTTCCAGTGTGATATTGCTTCCAGAAGTAATTTAAAAAAAATTAATTTATCAGGTGTCCTTCATGTTACTCATACGCACCATAATACCCTTGAATCAATTTTCCAAGAAAAGTGACACAATATTCACATTTTAAATTAGTTCCGCATCATCTCTATTTTGAAATTATAAATTTTAACATAATTAAACCGTTTTATGAACTTTTTCTTATATTGATCAGTTTAAAAATTAATTAGTTCCACACTAGCTGAACTACCTGAATAACTGAAGCACATAAGTACACCCACCTTCTATGGTGAGCGTTATTCTGCTACAGTTGGAAAAATTCTTTAAGCAGATAAGAACTGTAAACAATTTGAAATGGAGTGTCTAGGTACTCCTATCTTTAAAAGATCCAGTATCAAATTTGGTATAAAATGTTAAGTAAGTCTGATAAATTTTCAAGTAAGAACATTTAAATAATGGCAAAAGTTGAAAAAAATAAATTGCATCTACGGCAATTCAATGACTTAAAATGTTTCAATCCGCTGAAGTTAAAAATACATCCAAGAAAGGCCAAAGTAAGGCAAGTTTCAGATAGTATCCTGCGTTTGTTGGGGATGCCTAGGACCAAAAAAAATATGAGGAAAAAAATATGTAACAGTTGCCGAATGAGACTGGTGATGAGAGCCAAAAAAAATAAGAACAATGAAGGAGCTATATCGGAAAACAACAGCCAGTCATCGAGCGAGGAAAATATTCAACCATCAAGTAATAGCAGTTCGGCTACATAAGAAACTGAAGTCAGAAAAAGTGCTATTAGTCCATTAAATAAAGCACTCTCTCTAATAAGCAATACCCCAATTACATCGAGAAAACTTAAACAACAGGAATATAAAAATGAAAAAATAAAGGATATAACTGAAGCGATTAAACATAAAATTTTCAACATTCCTCCCGATGAGTCCAACAATAGCGATGAAGAAGATGACCTTGCATCAATTTTAAAAAATCTACAGGAAAAATTCAATGGCATAGCAGATAGGACGATGAAAATAAAAATATTGAGTGTGGTACATAATTGGTCTTTTCGAAGAATCACAACTCACTTTCCAAACGCTACAAAGCATATGATTACTGTAGCTAAAAAACTTGCTTCAGAAAAAGGAATCTAAGAAAACCCAAATCCAAAAAGCCATCCATCGTTAGAAAAACATGTAACCGATGCAGTTTTAAATTTTTACGAATGTGATGAAAACAGTCAAATAATGCCTGGGAAAAAGGACTGCGTATCCGTAAAAATTGACGGGAAGAGGACACAGATGCAAAAACGGCTCATTCTAAGCAATCTAAAGGAGTTGCATACTCTTTTCAAACTCAGCCATCCGGACCTCAAATGCAGTTTTTCAAAATTTGCACCTTTACGACCACAACATTGCGTTCTTGCAGGAGCAAGTGGTACACATTCAGTTTGTGTATGCTCCATTCACGAAAATGTACGATTAATGATAGATGGAGTAAATATAAAAGCACTGACTGCATGCAGTAGGGAGCCGATAAATGACTATAAAGATTGTCTACACCGCATGATTTGCCATGCTTCAAGCACAGAATGCTTTTTAGGAACCTGTGCCAAATGTCCTAGAACTGAAAACCTTAATCGACAACTTCTGGAGATATTTGATGACAACATGATTGAAACCGTTACATATAAACAATGGATTCGTGAAGAGA